ATATTGTTAAAAACATCGAGTTTACTGATTTTGAATTATGCTTAATTGATTTTCCTAGTTAGTTTTTTCAATTAAAAGGGCTCAAATGCGCCTTAAAAACCATCGTTCAAAAGGCTGAACTGTGCCTTTAAGATTTACTTAAAGGGAATTTGCGTAATAATTTTTAAACGAATCGTTTTTTGGTTTAGATATGGAAAGAAAGATTAAAGAATGTCAGACGATAGCGGAGCTTTTGGCTTTGGAAAGTCAAAACATATTCAACGAACTGGAAGAACGTTTAGTGTTTGAGAAGGGAATGGAGATTTTTCTGCGGATAAAGGAATGGCGTTTGGAAAACGAACGGTTAGGACTAGTACCTGATCTTACAGATACCTGGACGCCCGAACAACGTGAGAGGTTTCTACGCGATTGGCAAGATGAAGAGCTTCCGATCCAGATTAATCGAGGTGAGAAAAGATCGTATAAAGAGATGAGCAGCGATGATGATGAACCACAAGTCGGTCGCGGACAAAAAAGATCTTATGAAGAAACCAACGACGATAATGAACCTGGACAAGAAGGGAACGAGGTTAGCGACAACGTTTTTACGGTACAGAGTGTGAAACAAGTGAATGTGAAAAAGTTCAAAACCACGGGTATGGATTATCATATTCAATTTACGAATGCCTTTGCGAATGTGGAGCTTTCCGAATATCATGAAAGGCTGCATGAAATATTTCAATGCTTGCTTAATGCTTACGCAGGGCGTTCCTCCCCATGATCAAGTACGTTTCGTCCTACACTCATCGCAATTGGAAAATCCTATTTCATTTCCGTTTATGCCTCGTGAACGTCTCACAACGGAACGTGTGTTGGCAGAGTTTGAACGCGTGATCCAATCCAATCGCCATTTTCATCTCAACGATAGTGTGGATGTCAATGTTGTTCATGTGGAAATGCCTCATGGCGGTCGAAAGACGAAGCGAGCTGAAATTAATTTAGAAAAGCATTTAATGAAGAAACGCTCAATCATACGGATCCGGAACAATGATCAACTTTGTTTGGCGAGGGCTTTGGTCGTTGCGAAAGCCAAAATTGATAACGATCCAAAGTATACGAGCATTGTTGATCATCGCCGGGCTATGCAAACCCGTTTGGCTCGAGAATTACGTCAAAAAGCTGCCGTCCCTTTGGGTCCCTGTGGACTGGATGAAGTCAAACAGTTTCAGACGTACCTTTCCGATTATCAAATCAATATTGTGTCCACAGATCATCAGAACGCTCTTATTTATGTTGGTCCCAATCAAGAAAAGAAAATTTATCTGTACCTTTACGATAATCATTACAACGTCATTACCAAGATGCCCGGCTTTTTTGAGCGATCGTACTACTGCCATATATGTAAGAAAGCTTATGATCATCGAGAAGATAATTTATGCCCGAATGCCTGTCCATATTGTCGTTTTCCCGACTGTCCCGTTGAGTCCTGGGTTCACTGCAATGACTGCAACCGAATGTTCAAAAGCCAAGCGTGTTTCGATCGGCATAAACAGTCAAGTGGAAAATCGATCTGTGCGACGATGGTTGAGTGCTCGGAGTGACATAGAATTATCAAACGCTATAAAAGAGATTCGCATCATTGCGGTATGACAAAGTGCCCAATATGTAAAGAGTATACCCGGCCCGGCGACCATCGATGTTACATGCAGCCCGTGGAAAAACGAAACGAAGGTTTATCGGACAGTGACGATTCGTCTGAGCACCCTGAGGATGATGTTACGGAAGGCGGGTACGACCAAATGTTATTCTTTGATTTCGAGTGTCGTCAGGAAAATGGAAATCACGAGCCCAATTTATGCGTGATTCAGAACGAAGCCGGTGACGAATGGGTATTTGAAGGGGATAACACACGGAACGAGTTTTGTGAATGGTTATTTCAAAAGGAACGGGCAAATTGTGTGGTGCTGGCCCACAATTTCCAGGGGTACGACAGTTACTTTATTCTGCAATACTTACGGGAGAACGGTGTCAAGTACGATGTCATCATGCGCGGTGCCAAAGTCCATTTCTTATCTGTGGACATGTTCAAGATCAAATTTATCGATTCCTTGAACTTCATTCCGATGAGATTAGCAGATTTTCCAAAGACCTTTGGTATCGACGAACTCGCAAAAGGGTACTTTCCGCATCTTTTCAACAAGAGAGAAAACGAAAATTATGTGGGACCTATACCACCCACTCCCTACTACAACCCGAACGGAATGAGTCCTGCAGCAAAGTAAACGTTTTTACATTGGCATAGAAATTTGAAGGACAATGATTACGTGTTCAACTTCCAAGAGGAAATTCTCGCTTATTGTCGTTCCGATGTGGATATTCTGCGACGCTGTTGCTTGGAATTTCGCGAACTGTTCCGTGACGTTACTAAAATCGATCCCTTTGAGAAATGCCTTACTATCGCGTCGGCAAGCAATCAAGTGTATCGGACAAACTATCTTCGTGAAAATACCATTGCCATCATCCCACCGCGCGGTTACTGTCCCGAGAACAAACAATCCCTTCTTGCACAAAAATGGTTGTCGTATACGGCCGAACGAAACGAGATCTATATACAACATGCTCGCAACGGAGGCGAGAAACGTGTTGGTCCGTATTTGCTGGATGGTTATCATGAAGAAACCCACACGGCCTATGAAGTCCATCGATGTTTCTGGCATGGTAAGTGTTTGAATAAACGCCTCCCTCAAATAGACGCCCCCTTAGAATAGTATTTTAGAATAGTATTTTTGTTTATTTCTTACAGGATGTATAAACTGTTACACTCGTGATACAATGAACCGTGTCAAAGGTAAAACCATGCACGATCTTCATCAAAAAAACGTGGAAAAGATACAGTATTTGAAAAATCAAGGCTACAACGTGGTAGAAGTTTGGGAATCTAGAATCAATCGGGAATTGGCAGATAATGAAGACATGAAACATTACTTTGATCAATATGATGGAGTCGATCCCTTGGAACCTCGTGATGCTCTATATGGAGGACGAACCAACGCGTCGAGACTTTACCATGAATGTAATGATGATGAGAAAATAAGGTAGGGCGAAAAAATTTCTGACGTTATGTTTTTAGGTTATGTATGACGTCATGTTTTACTACGTCATGTATGACGTCATGTCTTACGTCATTCTAGATATGTGGATTTTACAAGCCTTTACCCATGGTGTAACAAAATGACGCGAACGGTTGTGGGACATCCACGCATCATCACCGAGAACTTTGACGACATCTCCACCTATTTTGGTCTGGTCAAATGCACAGTGCTTCCACCTCGAGGTCTGTTTCACCCTGTCCTGCCATATCGAACCCAAGGCAAGTTGATGTTTCCACTTTGCAAGACCTGTGCCGATGCCTGTAACCAGACTCCCTGCAACCATTCCGACAGTGAAAGAGCCATTCAGGGTACATGGTGTACCGTGGAGCTGGAGAAAGCGTTGGAGAAAGGTTATCAAATTGTACAAATTCATGAAGTGTGGCACTTTCCCGAAACCTCGGATGACCTGTTCAAAGAATATATTGACACCTTCCTGAAAATTAAACAAGAGGCGAGTGGGTACCCGAAAGATTGCGTCACCGAAGAGCAGAAGCAACATTACGTGGATGAGTACCTTGAAAAGTCGGGAATCCATTTAGACCCCCACAAGATCGAATATAATCCTGGCTTACGTGCTCTGGCTAAATTGATGTTGAATTCGTTCTGGGGTGAGTACCATGCTTTCATTGATATATATATTTTCTCTACATGATACTTAACAGTTTCTCCGTTTAGGTAAATTTGCACAACGACCCAACATGGTTAAAACCGAGCAGGTAAAAGATCCACAAGTATTCTTTGACTACCTCACCTCTGATGAGATCAACGTACTTGATGCCGATTTAGTGAGTGACGACATCATCGAAATCAGATACGAGTATACGGACAATTTCATCAAACCCGATGCCAAAACCAACGTGGTCATTGCTGCTTTCACCACCGCCTATGCCCGTCTCAAGCTTTACGGTGTGCTGGACATGTTGCAAGAGAGAGTGATGTATTACGATACCGACTCAGTGATTTTTGTCAGCAAACTCAACGAACCCGAACCTCCTTTGGGCAACCATCTCGGCGAATTAACCGATGAATTGGGAGGCGAATACATTACTGTGTTTGCGTCAGGCGGTCCGAAAAATTATTGCTACCATACGAATAGCGGTAAAGTTGAGACCAAAGTGCGTGGAATCACTCTAGACTGCACGGCGACGCAAAGGTGAACTTCGAGGTGATTCGTGGATTGGTGTATCTACATGCTAAATGTCAAGTGACGGAGCAAGTGTCTACATACATACATACATCAACTTTATTTAAACACGGAAAATCATCAGTATAGTTATTTACAAAAATATTAAAAAATTTTAAAAGGAGCAAAAAGAAATATAGATACTGTTCTACCTGATTGCCGTGTGGGAGTCAAATCGATTATTTATTAAGAAGGCTTCTAAACCTGTCTTAAATGCAGCGAGAGAGGTTACTGATCTAAGAGATTCTGGCAGGCCATTCCATAAAGAGGCTCCACTGTAACTGAAGGAGCGTTTCAAATAATCTGTGCGTGGTTTTGGGACATAAAGTTTACCATAAGAATCTCTCAGGTTATAAACACTCTCACTGAGAGAAAACATCTCTTGTAAATAGAATGGTGTATGTTTATTAATAGTATTAAACATGAGGATTGCCTTTTGCTTTAATCGCTTAGTGGACAATGATTCCCAATTAAGTTCTTCAAGAAGAGAACTTGATGAAATATCATAAGATGAACGGGTAATAACACGGGCGGCCCTATTCTGTAATTTTTGTAATTTTTCGCTTTGCTTTTTACCTAGGCCATCCCAAACAGGGGCACAATAGGAAAAATAGGGCTCCACCAAACTTTGGTAAACTCCAATTGCAGTTTCTGTGGTAATAAAATCTCTCATTCGTTTGAGAGCACCGATACCCGAAGAGACTTTTTTTGTGATATTATCAACATGATATTTCCAAGTCAAGTTCTCATCAATTGTTAAACCTAATGACTTAGACTTCAGCACTCTATTAATCTGTTTATTGTTAACACATACTTCCACATTCTGATTATCAAAGGTTGAAAGTCTTTGACGAGATCCAATAATCATAAATTCAGTCTTGGCAATATTTAAACTTAACTTATTTGCCTCTAGCCATGTGTTTAAATTGGCTATTTCAGCATTCAAAAGATTTTCTAGCTCAGAAAGATTATTACTTTGCATGCTGATGTTCGTATCATCAGCATACATTCTAGGTAAACCCTCGTTCAAGCAGTTAGGCAAGTCATTGATATAGATCAAAAACAGAAGTGGGCCTATAATAGAGCCTTGCGGAACTCCATGGGAGATAGAACGACTACCAGAGAGTTTGCCATTTACGTAGCATTTCTGTTTTCGATTGTTTAAATAGGAATTAAACCACGATAGCGCATTGTCATCCACACCATAACACTTGAGTTTACGTATAAGAATTTCGTGATCAATTGTATCGAAAGCTTTCTTTAGGTCAATGAAGATCACTCCGTTAAGCAAACCCTTATCAATATTTACGCACCAGTTATTAGTCGACTCTAATCAAGCTGTAACGGTACTATATGATGCTCGAAACCCTGACTGATAGTTCGACAGTAAGTTGTTACTTGCCGCCGATATAATTGAAATTGGACGATAATTACTTAGATCACATTTTTCGCCATTTTTGAATATAGGTAAGACTTTTGCCATCTTCCAATCAGTCGGATAAATCCCCATAGAAAGCGATCTATTAAAAATTCTGGTTAACGAGGGTGAAAGAATATCAGCGGCTATTTTCAATAATCTACCTGGAATTTTATCAGGGCCGGTCGCTTTGTTAGCATTAATCGTTCTTAGCAAACAATTTACAGTGGACAAACCGATTTCCTCGAAAGAAAACACACTATGTGTGGATTGAATATAAGAAACGGGATTAACATTCGAGCTAGGTATTTTGTTCGCAAGTTTCTCTCCTATCAAGGTGAAATATGAATTAAAGGCATCCGAAATTTCAGCCGCATTAGTGATTTCATTACCGTCAAGATTGACTTTCTTGACACTGGTTACATCACTCACTTTACGAGAGTTCATATCGTTGACTAGTCTCCAAGTTTTCCTTGGATCTTTTCGTGCAGCCTCAATATTAGTGATAAAGTAGTTATGTTTAGCCTGCCTAATAGTGTTGTTAGTTTCATTTCGAGCTTTCTTATATTGTAACCAAATTTCATCGTCATGTGTAATATCGAATTGCCTTTTTAGATAATCTCTTTCGCGAATTTTCTGAACTACATGTGAAGTAATCCAGGGAGACTTTCGTTTCCCTATACGTTTCTAAAGTGGGGCATGTTTATCAATCACAGACATAAACAAATTCAACCATTCAGTCCACATATTTAGAGTTGTTATGCAGACAAAC